GTGTGTGTGTGTGTGTGTGTGTGTGAGAGAGAGAGAGAGAGAGAGAGAGAGAGAGAAGCAAAGAGATCTTGTATCAGAATTTGGGTTACTGTGATGGAGCAAGTCACTCCACTCCTCCAAGCCTCAGTTTCTTGATCTACTTGATCTAGCAAATGGGAATAATAATCCCTATTTGCATATTTGGGAACATTAGCCCTGCCTGGCAAGCAGGGCCCAGAGCAAGCTGGTGATTAGGCTATGAGGAGTCTTCCTTGAACTGGTAAGGATGAACTTGGTCCCAGAACTCTGGGCATCGATGCTGGATCTTCCAAGTCTTATGCTGTGTACTACCTCTCCACCCCTCCAGCCTGTGATCCTGAGCCAGACACTGGGATTCAGCAGCTGTCAACAGAAGCGCACTTCAGGGCTCTCCGCTTTGCCTCTAGCTTCCCTCAGGAAACTGGGACTGCTTAGGCTATCATCACCTGCTGTCAAACTCTCTGGGCTTCTGGGGCATGGGCTGCTGATATGAAGAGTTCTAGAAGGTTGAGCCTTCTATTTCACCCTCCTCCAAGACCCAGCCCCTCCCCCTGATAGCTCAGGAACTCACCAGAAGGCTTGACTCCCTCTCTCCCTCCCTCCTTCTCTCTGGCCACTAGCAGGATCTGGGAGGGGTGGAGGGAGAGGAGCGCCTTTAGCTGTGGGGAGTGGAAAATGCTGGGGGAGGGAAATGGGTCATTGGCTCTGTAACCTGCCTGAGGGCAGGGACCTTACAGAATTATCTCCAGCTTTTATATTGCTAGTAAGTGGTGGGCCCCTGAGATAAAGGAAATTCATTTAATTGTGCGACTATGCATTCATTACGCACTCCTTATGACTATAAAGAGGCAGCTGTTAGTCCATGTCATAGAAAGGGAAACAGAGACAAAAATTACCAAAACAGGAAGTGGCAAGCCCCAGAGAGGTGTTAGAATCTAGAGCAGATTGTCTCAAAAGCTTATGCCCCTTCCGTGGCTGCCCAGGGCTCATCAGCAGGGAAACTTGAACAGCCTCTGTGGTCTTTAGGGTCCCCCACATGTCTGAGGCACCAGGAAGGATGAGATGATGGTGAGGGGATCCACACCTAAGATACCTGCCACTTAGATATGGTTTTATTGCTGTGAAGAGACACCATGGCCACAGCAACTCTTATGAAGGAAGCTTTTCATTGAGCCTGACTTTCAGTTCAGAGGTTTAGCCCCTTATAGCCATGCAGAGAAGCGTGGTAGCAGGCAGGCAGACAGTGCTGGAGTTATTTCAGTGGTATCTGGGAGTTCTACATCTGGACCCGCAGGCAGCAAGGAAGAGAGAGCAACGCTGACTCTGGCTTGAGTTTCTCTAACCCCAGAGCCCATCCCCAGGGACACACTTCCTTGTTGGAACAAGGACACACCTACTCTTACAGGACCCCATCTCCTAATAACAGCACTCCCTGTGAGCCTATGGGGCCTTTTCAATCAAACCACCTTCTCCTGATCCTCCAAATTCTAGAGGAGGACATCACAGGGTACCCCATTCATTAGGGGACTCCTTGTTATTGGCACTGTCACTAGGCTACCCTGTTCTCAGAGAGACCCTCAGCTTGGAGCACTCAGCCCTGAGGAGGGCTTCAAGGACAAAGTCACTTTCCTCATAGCCTCTCTCCTTCAGCTCTTTGAAAGCCAGCTAGCCCTCCTCTGTTCTCTTCCCTTCTGAAATGGCTTCAAGGAACCTCATATCCAATCCCAGCAAGAAACAGAATCTAGGGAAGAAAGTCAGGCTCTGCTCACCAGCCTTGTATCAACTAGATGGATGAACTTAGGCCATTCTGTTCACCTCTCCCAGGCTCAGGTTCCTCAACCGGGAAATGGGGATTTAAAAAAATTATTCCAAATTTCCAAGGCTGTCATGATAACCATTACGACAAAAAACTGTGGACATGCTTGATGAACAAGAGGGCTCTTGTTCTTCACCCCCTGGCGGCAGGTGTCCAGCTCCCTTTGCGGGGACCCTGTGCTCTCATATGCCACCACTGAGTTCAGATCTGAACCCCAAGAACTGGAGGTGCCTCCATGTTTCTCCTCACCAAAGCAACAGCACTGAAAACTCAAAGCAAGCCTGTGACCGAACTAACCAGGGCAAGCAATGGCTAAGAGCTCTATGGGAGTGCAAAATCATTTCTGAATTCCAGATCTACTGTTCTTAACAGGGCTACCTTTGAACAATCATCTCACGTCTCTGCACCTCCGCTTCCCTTCTAGAAAATGGGACAATAATGGTGCCCATCTTCGGAGGCGGGTAGTGTGCACGAGCGCACACACACATACATGCTTGCACACACAATACAATGAATAGCCACTCTGGTTTTTGTTTTGACATCTTTAGTGACTTTTCTCTTTGATTGTCCAAGAGTATGCGGACCATCTTTGTCCTCTTCTTCAGCCACAGCCACACCAAAGGCTGAACCGCGATTAGTAAAAACTCAGGGTCATAAACTGGAGTTCAGCCTGAAGATCTGAAAAGCAAAACATCCAGCCACTGGTTCTTACCTCAACCTCAGTCTGAAATGGCGATCCTGCCTCCAGGAATCTTGGAATATGTCACACCCCATTTTATATTCCTCTCTAGGGCTGGGATTAAAGGCATGCACCACCTGATTTCTATGGCAACTAGTGTAGCTACTGGGATTAAAAATGTGTGTCATTGAGGCTACTGGGATTAAAGGTGTGTGTTTCCATAACCTGGTCTATAAAGCTGACCAGGGGGACTGTCTTACTCTCAGATCTTCGGGCAATCTTTATTAAAACACAATTGAAATACCACTACCTTTGCTCTCTGCCTCTAACTGTCTTGCCCAGTCTGGACTGGCTCCATGGCCACTTCGGATTCTCGGTTTAACGTACTACAGGAGGAGGCAAAGGCACAGGTTCCCCAAGGGGACAGGATACTGCCCAGGCAAATCTACTTCTAGTCTCCAGAAGACCGTTTTGTGGCTGTGTTGAGGACCCAGAGCCTCAGGCATACTAGGCCAGCACTGTACCACTGAGCAATTCCCCCAGCAGTCTCCTCTGAATTATCTCCCCTAGTGGGCGTTTGCATTCCCCAGGGGCAACACCCACCCACCAAAGCCCTTCCCCAGGGGCTCAGGATGGCTGCCAAGACTCCTCCAGCCCCCGTTTTATTCCAGTCCAAGTCTTTTAAACCAAAACCTTTCCCCGCTGTTCCTACTCTTAGTTTATCTCCATGTTCACCCCATATCATTTATCCAGGGCTCATTACTGCGCATTCTGGACTCAGGCCACACCCATTAACTGCCCCTCCCCCACAGCCGTGTCTAGCTCAGGTCACCTCCTTCTGTCAGTCCCTGAAGGCAGTCTTCCTCCACGAAGCTCTCCTGGACCGTCTGCCTGATGGATGGAAGGGTGCTCCGAGCATCCTTCCAAAGGGCACCGCTCTTCTTTGACAACTATACGCATGAGGTATTTTATCTCTTTAAAAACCGCGCTTCTCTCTGTGTTGCTATAATAGATATGGCTGACATTTTAAAGTCCATTTTCAAAACACACGCTGTCTGATCTGTGGTTCCTGAATATGGAAGTCTACATTACCTCCTGACTTGCATTTTAAACCTCGGTGCATCAGCAGGAGAGAGAACGCTTCCACAGAGCCAGCCCCAGAGTCATGCCGATGCCACTGGGGAGGATGCTGTAGCGCCGTCACATAGGGACACTTGTGTAGAATCTTCCTAAAATAGCTCGGATGCCGTGATTCTTGGATCCCCTGCAATCACCTGAATTCTTTTTAAAATTTTTTTAATTTAATTAATTTATTTTTATTTTTTAATTATTTTTATTTTTTTATTTTTTATCTTTTTTAAATCTCATTCCACCTGAATTCTTTCTGCCCTCATCTTGTGAGGAGTTGCTTTAGAATATGTAATGGATTCTCTAAAAGAGTTTCAGACAGTTACATTCGTGTATGACTTTGCTTTCTTTCTTTCTTCATGCCTTCATTGGGAAGATTCTTTTTATTAAGCCATTTATTGACTTTTGTATTTCCTCTTTTACAGCAGCCCTGTGGTTTCATACCCGGTACTGAGTAGATGCTCAATAAATACTTAAGGGGGGCTGGAGAGATGGCTCAGTGGTTAAGAGCATTGCCTGCTCTTCCAAAGGTCCTGAGTTCAATTCCCAGCAACCATATGGTGGCTCACAACCATCTGTAATGAGGTCTGGTGCCCTCTTCTGGCCTGCAGGCATACATACAGATAGACTATTGTATTCATAACAAATAAATAAATAAATATTAAAAAAAATACTTAAGGGAAGGGAGAAGAGAAAGAATAGGAAGGAAAGAAAGAGGAAGGAAGGAAAGAAGGGAGGGAGGAAGGAAGAAAGGAAAGAAGAAAGGCAGGGAGGGAGGAAAGAGGAAGGGAGTGCTGTCAGTTGGGAGCAACACTCAGTATGTGAGGCTTCTCTGTGATCTGTCTTTAGGGGTCACCTTGTCACCCCAGTACCAACTAGAGGGGCTGGTGAATAGACAGACTGATTTCCTGTTGTCTGCTGAACACCACTGTGTGGGAACTCACTCTTTGTGGATTTGTTGTTCATCTGTTTATTAAGCTGAATTTGTTCCAGTCAAGGTGGCCCCAGGCCTCAACCTATGTTTTTATGAAAGAATATTTTTTTTTGTTTATTCCTTAGCAGTTTGTGCAAGGGCACAGCGTATCTTGGTCGCTGTTTCTGTATTGCTGAGGAGATGTCCCAACTGCAAACTCTATGGGATATTTGCGATGGCTTTGCTCCACGACCTTGAGCTGGACCCAGTCGAACAAGAAATCCATCAGCACAACGGCTCAGAACAACAGGAGGTTGCCAGGCAAAGGGTGGACTGGAGCAGCTACGGCCTCTCTTGGTGCAACTGGAGCTTCCGAGTGAGCATCGCACAGACAGCAGCCACAAGGTTATGGGTGGAACAGTCCAGGGCTTGCAGCCTTGTCCAGGGGCCAGCCAACATGCAGTTTGCTGAAGTGTAAAACCAGTGGAAATGTATTCTTCGGTTCCTTTCCTCTTTCTAACTAGTGTGCACCTCAGAGTGCCATGGCTATTTTTCCTTGGCTGAGTGGGGGGGACTGTCTCATTATAGAGACGTCATCCAGGCCTCGAAGAGCAGCAGGTTGTGCCTGATGGCCAGGAGCTGCAGCATGGCCATGATTCCTTTGTTGACTCAAACTTGACCTCATCCATAAAAACGTAGTTTTTCGACTGAGGTGTCTCAGTTTGCCTTTTTTTTGGAAAGAATATTTTTTTATTTACCCTGTGGCTATTTCAGACACATATACAGTGTATCTTGATCATACCAACATCTATCTAACTTCCCACTGAATACACCCAACCCTCATGTTCTCCCCCCTTTTTTAAATCTATTAGAGTTGCTCACTGAGCTGTTGACTGATCCTGCTTGTTCTTGTGCAGGTCTTGTTGTGCGGCCATTGCTAAGGTGAGTTCGTGCCCACTCTTCTTGATTAATTCACAGTGTTGACTGGACTGGATTTGGAATCATCTAGAAGACACATCTCTGGACATGTCTGTAAGGGCATTTTTCTGGCAAAGTTTAACTGAGGAGGAAAGACTTACTCTGAATGAGGTATAACAATTTCATGGACTGGAGACTTGAACTAAATAAAAAAGAAGAAAGCCAGTTAAAATTCCAGAACTTCCCAACCCTTGCCCCTTCTCCCTTCCCTCCTCCCTGTCTGTGGTCTTCCCAGATGTGAGGGGTCTAAAGTACTTGCTTCTACTGCCATCAGTTACCACTGTGCCTTCCCACTGTGCTCTGCTGTGCCCTCTTGAACCACGGATCAAAATAAAATTGTTGTCCCTTAAGTTATTTTCTGTTCAAAGTGAGGAGAAAGGTAACCGAAAAACTGAGCTTAAGGACAAGGCGATGATTCAGTTGATAAAATACGGGCCACACAAATGTGAGGACCTTCATTCAGATTCCCAGCATCCACAGGAAAAGCTAACCGCAATGACACCCCCAACACACATACACACACACACACACACACACACACTTAAAAAGAAGCTTCTTTCTAGAAGAAAGAATTTTTTAAGTAAATACATCATTAGGTATAGAGTATTACGTAGTCCATGCAACTTAATGCCATAGAATGTCAGAGTTAGGAAAATCTTGGCCATCAAAGTATCTCTCCACATATGTTGACCTTAAAAACCCCACTGTAGAAGAATCTCTGCATCTGCTCTTCCTAAGGCCTAGGTTTTATAGTTGTAAGAAAGAGGTCAGGCTGGGTAGTGGTGGTGGTGGTGTACGTCTTTAATCCCAATACTCAGGAGGCAGAGGCAGGTGGATCTCTGTGAGTTTGAAGTCAGCCTGGTCTACAGAGTGAGTTCTAGGACAGCCAATGCTACTCAAGGAAACCTTGTCTTGAAAACAAAAAAGAAAGAAAAAAAGAAAGAAAGAAAAGGAAGAAAGAAAGATAGAAAGGGGCTCAGAGCCTCCTTACTAAAAAATGTAAAGCACATCAGAGAGCGTGAGTGTAGAGTCAGGATGTGGAGTGTGTGAGACAGGGCAGAAGCCACTCCCACTGCAGCAGCAGGAAGGGGAGGGCAGCAGACACTAGCAGTGAACTTGGGCTTCCTGTGACAGCAGAGTCCCTCACTGAATGACTAAGGAGAAATATCTGTTCTTCCAGGTACTTCCATGTCCCTATCTTGCTGGTCATTTTAATCAGAAATGAAGCTCCTTAGGCCTAAGTTTCCTTTTTTGTAAACAGAGAAGGCTGGACTACCTGGTTTCTGAGACCTTCCAGTTCCAACGTTTTATGATCTATGATTAAAACTTCAATGACATTGTTCAGCCTGCTGTCCAGAGTGTGACCCACCAACTTTCATAAAAACAATCATCATTAGCCTATGCTAATTGGTCAATAAAACCATCACAATTTTATAGCGTGAAACTTGGGACCTGCTGACATTAACACAATTGATGTGCCGAGTGGAAGTTCAGCGTCACGGATAAAAATAGCTGACTGGGGACTCGGGAGTCTTACTCAAAGGGACACAGTCTCAGATGTCCTGTGATTGAAATAGGAACGGTTAACGGGAAACTGACCCACGTATAAGATAGTCTCATGGTTGGGAGAGCGCAGGACAACCACCTTCAGAGTGGAGGATTCCTAGGATTGGGAATGACACAGAAAACATTCAGAGGGGTGGCTTAATGGCTAAGTCACATTCCTGTCCCATTCACAAGCCATAGCCATCTTCAGACGGGGACCAGGCCGCCTGTGGTCAGTGAGTCGAGACTGGAGCCTCAAGCTTGGTCAGCTCATTAGTCCTTCTACTCCTTACACCTAGGATCGCGACTCTTTTTTTTCTCTCTCTACTTTCTCCTTGAACTTGACAGGATTCTGTTGATATTTTAGGCTTCCCTTTGTGTTACTCTGTTGAATGTAAAATAGAAGCTATCTGATCTTACCATCTACTAGATGTCAAGTGATGGCTGTCCTTTACTAAAGGAGAGGCAGGATGAGAACTTTTACTTGTTCTGACCTTATTACTGGTACCCAGGGAGTCTAAATCACTTGCCACAGACATGTCATAAGCTGATAGTCGGTGGAGTCAGGTTTAAGCCCAGGTCTGCTTGCTTCTGAAGCCCTTACTCCACCATCTAGAGCTCCTCTGGGGTAGGTCTGCCCTGGAGTCACAGAAAGAAGAATGAGAAAGTGATCCAGGAAGTTATCAGTGATAAGAGACTAAATGTAAGCCAGAGAAGGTGGAGACAGAGCTACAAAGTAAGTTTGGGCGGACCGCAAAAAGACGGTACGAAAAAAAACAAAACAAACCATTAGGATTCAGGCAACTTGTTTAGAGGTCGCAGAGATAAAAAGCGTCAAATATATCGCATATAAAAGCAGAGAGTTTGAAAGGCCAAATGGAGGGCATTTGAGAGAGAAGAGGCCTTTGGCACAGAGCGCAGGAAGAGGGGTCCATTACAATGCTGTAGGTGGCTGCACAGGAGGAGACCTTGAAGGTCAGCCACCCCGAGCCATCATTTGGAGCTATCTATGCCAAGAAGATCTCCAGAGCCCTGGACTGAGCTCCCAAGGTCCAAATGAGGAGCAGAAGGAAGGAGAACTTGAGCAAGGAAGTCAGGACCGCGAGGGGGGCGCCCACCCACTGAGACGATGGGGCTGATCTAACGGGAGATCACCAAAGCAAGCTGAACTGGGACTGATGGAGCACGAGATCAAACCGGACTCTCTGAACGTGTGTCAGACAAGGAGGGCTGACTGAGAAGCCAAGGACAATGGCACTGGGTTTTGATCCTACTGCATGTACTGGCTTTGTGGGAGCCTAGTCTGTTTGGATGCTCACCTTCCTAGACCTGGATGGAGGGGGAGGGCCTTGGACTTCCCACAGGGCAGGGAACCCTGACTGCTCTTTGGACTGGAGAGGGAAAGGGAGAGGGTAGGTAGAAGAAGAGGGAAATGGGAGGAGGTGGAAATTTAAAAAAAANTAGAAATTTTTAAGTAAAAAAAAAAAAAAATTAAAATTAAAAAAAAAAAAAAAGATCTCCAGACCAGTGCAGAAACCCAGCGGGCGAGAGTTGCCTAGCATTAGATGTAGAGCCTCCATCACAGCTGCCTGGTCTAGAAATAAAGGACACAGAGGTAGAACTGTAACCACACCAGAGTCATCTTCTCCCATGGAGACAGCAAGCATGTTGCTACAGGGGTTTAAAATTCATCCCTCAAAAGTCAAACGATTTCACAGCATATTACAAGGAAGTTCTGCTTTTTTTAAGGAACCTTGTTGTACAAAGGCATGTTCGCATCAAATGCAGTTTCAGAAGAAAGTATTCTGTAGGTTTTTTCATTTCTTTTTTTTTTTTTTTGGTTTTTTCATTTCTACTTAGCAATGAGTTGGCATTGTTTCTCACACATACTGCAGATTTGCAAGCATGCAACCCTAGGGCACACAGCATGCAATTGCCTTGTGGTAATCGCCCTGTGCAACTGGTCGTGTTTTTCTCAGCCCCACAAAGGAGGAATTATTCTTGATACTGTGATATTCATAGTTGGAAATAGTCCAGAAGCCCAAATCTATTCACACTTCTGTTGGAAGACACGACACGGTGTTATGTTTATATTCTAGATGCTTGATTAGCAATCCATAACAGTATTAATATTCTAATTGGGGTAAGATCATCTTCCCAGGCACACACTAAGCAAAACCCCTAGTATGTGAAACACACCAGTGAAGGCTGCAGGCTTCCCATAGTAGGAAGACTGAACTTGGCTCTTGTCCCTCTGCATGGTGTGGTATTGCTTTCACTTAACTTCTCCGTGGCTCGTGTTCCTCCTCTATAACTCCGTCTCGGCCCTTTTCCCAAGAGTTACCCACTCGTACTTCTTCCTCCCTGGAGGCTCACCCTTACCTGTCTCCTCCCTCATTCTTTGGTTTTTCTATTTACTTTCTCTTTCTGGTCATTCTATTTATGAACCAAAATGGATCTTAATAGTGACTGAAAAAAATTAGTGACTGATACACACAAGAGCACTGTTCGAGTGATCTGTCTGAACCAGCGAGAAGGTAGACAGAATTAGATGCGGTGGAGAAACTGAGCCACCAGCCTGCAAAGTCCTTGAACATACCCAATGGCCTTCTCCACAGTATCCCCCAAGTCTACCTCATCAACATTCCCTCATCAATCTAGTTCTGCAAGAGGTCCTCAGGGTTAGTGCAAGAACTGACAGAGCTGATAGATCCGAGTCTTGGATGCAATGTTTAATTGTGTGTAGGCTGCAACGCTGTGTGTTCTTCCTTTCATTCTACATGCACAGCATCTTAGCTATGAAGACTGCTGATCATAACATTATAAACCAGATTTATCATGTCTTTCTATCAACAGTCTGGACTTCTGAGCTCTGTTGTAACTTTAACTCTCTTTTCTGAGAAGTTGGAGCCAACCTAGGAGTCACAGAGAAGGTTCAGTGGAGGAAAGGTCAACCTTTAAAAGAGTTGCTAATGACCTGGAAGACTCAGGCCTTCAGTATAGGATCTGTCCAGAGCTCTCTAAAACCTGTGACCCACACTGAGTAAGTTTCCTGCAGTGCTGCAGCCACAGTCACAAGCAGAAGCAAAATGACCCAAGAGAACTCCTCCACCCCCCGGGGGCTCTCTGTTATGCTTGGATTCTGTATCTACCGGTGTCTTGGAAAGGCTGAGGCTCTCCTCTCCCTCACTGTAGCTCCTCATTGTTCTGTTCTTCAGGGGCCCTGCAGTCACACAGGAAAAACAGTCCCAGAAGAGGCAACTGCACTTGTAGCATTGACCTTTCATGGAGCATCTTGGAGCATGTGCTACACCATTGCAAGACAGCCACACCTCTCAGAAGCAGGAAACACCATCTCCACAGAGAAGTGAGGAGACTCAAGTGAGATGACAGAGCCTGGGGAGCTGGAGTCTTTTTTTTTTTTTTTTTTTTTTTTTTTTTTTTTTGAGACAGGGTTTCTGGTTTTGGAGCCTGTCCTGGAACTAGCTCATGTAGACCAGGCTGGTCTTGAACTCACAGAGATCCGCCTGCCTCTGCCTCCCAAGTGCTGGGATTAAAGGCGTGCGCCGCCGCCACCACCACCCAGCTGGAGTCTATGTTGTTAGCAGCTTTGTCTTCCAAGTTCCTGGGTGTCCTAGACCTTGACGCGTGTCTGGATTCCTCACCTAAGCGGCCGCTCAAGGCCCAAAGGACGAGTGTGAGATGCATATGGAA